CTGGTGCCCGGGGTGCCCGCCGTGCACCTCGGCAAACACAGTGCGTCCCGCCCCCCTCCCGCTCACAGCCGCTCACAGCCGCTCCACAGTGGCTACCGCTGCCTCTGATGCTGAACCGAGTTCTTTCTGCCTGTGAATTCAACCCCTTCACCAGAAGCAGTTTCCCCTCCTGGTCCCTCACCTCCGCCAGTGACTCCTCGCCCAGCACTGGGCCATAGTCCCACACAGTCGGGACCCGTACGCGCAGCCCAGAGCCATCCAGCCCCTCAGAGACGTGCGGGGGGTGGGCAAATATCCTGGGAGGCTGTGCCCGGTCCTTCTCCATCTCCCTCTGGGTTCTCAGCAGATTTCGTTCAACAAGACCCCTTTCTATCTTACTCCCTCCCATTCCTTGGATTTGAGGATGGTTCCTGAATATATATAATTGCCACTTTTCCCATCTTCTGGCTCTGAGTTATTAGCAAAATAGGAAGATGGAAATTTAAAGACCGGTCCTTCCTCAATGTCTGAGTGGTCGTTTTTACCTTGTTATGAAAACTGATTGCATGTTCACTTGATGATATCTTAAGTTAGAGCTTTGTTCTTTAAAATATTCTTAAAGTTTAGATGGCAGATTTCATAAGATTTACAATTTTTTTCACCTTTTAATCTGAGCGGTTTCCATTTCTGCACTTCTACTGGGTTTACTGAGTTACCAGAAAGGCAAGTAAGTGCTTTGTCCCCTACAATGGGCAGAGATGGGCACAGTCACCCTCCCGGGGCCCTTAGAAAGGAAGCCTTTCCTTGCTGGTGAAATGTGTGCTTTTTGTCCCCCTCCCCCCCCAGGTCTCAAGTTACATCAAAGAGCAGACTCAGGAGCAGTTTCAGATGATAATCATTTCCCTAAAAGAGGAGTTCTATTCCCAGGCCGATGCGCTGATAGGCATCTACCCGGAGGTAAAAGGCAGCCCCAGGAGTCTCCCTGTTGTGACCCGAAGTGAAATTACAAGTACCAGTGGGGTCTGCACATGCTGTTTGATTTCTGCAGTTGATAACTATTAGGCTTAAGTGATTTTTTTTGAATCAAATAGGATTTTTTAAAACGACTTATTTTTCTACGATAGTAGACAGAATTTTTAAGATGGACTTGAAGTGAAAAAGCAAACAAAATTACACAGCTGTAAGGTACACACTAAACTGTTAATACTGTGTTCCATATTTCCGTAATGTCTGCATGTTTTAGACCAAACAAATGCACTGTGGGTAGCACTAAAGGGCCCATTTATCTTTCAGAAAGGACCAGAGGGGGAACAAAACAAATTCACCAGACGTTCCAAGTTGTATAGTAACTTAGAATTCAAACACACCTACAGCTGTTCAAAATACTTACCTGAGCTAATGGAGTAGAGCAGCTAATTCAGATTATTCAGTTTGGGGACAGTAAGGCTTTACCTCCTGAGTTTTCATCTAAACGAAGATAAAAATTTCCCTTCCTGTGCCTACAAGATGCAAGGGAGCACCGGAAATTCTCACACCAGCGTAGGGGAACAAAAAATACCTTTTTCCTCTACGCACTTAGGTTCTCTGGCTGGGGCCCTGTTATCAGACTGGCAAAAGGCAGATTAACAGGAGGAAAACGGCTTAACACGTGCATCACACATGTACACGTAGAGGCCCTGGTGAAGAGTAACCCCAAGGGCTGCCGGCTAGACCCCGCGCTTACACACCATTCCAGGCTAACACGAGGGGCGGGGGCTGGGGGACAGGCGAGGGGAGCCGTGGTAAGCACGGATCGCTTAGCAAGTCCTGTGGTGCGTGTGGAAGCGGGCGCCTTCTCCACCGGTGAGAGCTGGTGAGAGCGGAGCGGGGCCTCCTACATCGAGCACGTTTCCTTTGTGAATATGGAGCTCGGTCCTTAGAGCTGCTCCTGTGTCAGCTGGTTCGCGGTAGCCTTTAGCTCAGAGCAGTCCGTGCGCCGCGATGGCACGCGCTGGGACCTTTTACCAGATAATACAAAACATAAAGCTGATGTAAATGGAGACCCGTGGTTATAAGGAGATTCCTTTTTAAGTGCAAATCCATATTCGCTCGTGGCCTCCTTTTATGTTTAATAACACATTTCTCCCCCAAGTCGACAGGTGACTTGAGCGGTCTTTTCTCATTTCAGTTCGATGACTGCATGTTCAGCAGAGTTCTGACCCTGGATCTTTCTCAGTATCCAGACACTGAAGGCCAAGAAAGCAGCAAAAGAAACCAAGAGTCGCGTTAGGACCGCGAGTGCCCCCTGAACACCTGGGGGTGTCCGTGACCTGGGTCACGGTCACGGCTGCCTAGTTGTTGCTCTTGAATGACAGACTGCTGGAGCAGTCGGGACAGCCTGGGCCGCTGTAGCTCGCGTCCATCATTCGGGCCCCCTTCCCGTGGGTACGGTTTCCTGAGTTAGTGTTGAGCGAATTATTTTTAAAAAAAAATGTAATTTTGTGTCATTTTGAAAGCCAGTCAGAATAATTTTGGATTCTGCATTATTTTCACTTAGGTCTTGCCTAGTATGTTTAAGTGATCTTTCAGGGAAACTCTTGGTTCTCAAATATTGTTAGTTATAGAACGTTGAACCTGGGTTTTATGGGAAGTTATTTCAGGGGAACTGATGTCAATACAGGAAATCTCAGTAAAGAATATTCTAACTGCAGATGTCTCTGATCTATCATTTTAGAAACAAAAATTCTTTTAAGGTGAAACAATTATGTCTGCTTCAATGCAATCTGAATTTTTCTAAGTATAAATCTGTTGGGAAAACATCGTACACAGGCTTTCCTAAGTAACAACTGACTCCTCCGCTTAAATACGTGGTTCTGGGGAGGAAAGTTGCAGCATTTTCAATAATACTTCGTTTCCCTTTCAGAATGGATTAGAGTTTTGTACACAGCAGAGCAGCTCCCTCACTGCAATCTACTGACAGTTACCTGTCCACACAGGGTCTGTGGACATGTGAGGACCAGCGGCGCCTGGGCGGCTCGGTCGGTTAAATGTCCAACGTCTGCTCAGGTTGTGATCTTGCAGTTCACGAGATAGAATATCCCGAGCAGGCTCCTGGTGGTCAGTGCAAAGCCTGAACACCAGGCACTCTCTCTCTCTCCGCCTGCCCCTCCCGTGCTCATGCACGCGCACGCACACACACACACGCACGCACGCTCGTGTGTGCGCTCTCAAACTTTACAGAAAGAATTCCGAGATGCTGGTGGTCTTCCGCTTAAGACGGGCTGGACCCAAGTGCTAACGAGGGAGCAGCCTCCCGAAGCAGGGACGCGGCCACTTTTGAACACCCACTGCTTCACGTAAACGAAGTGCCCCGTGTGCCCACCTAGACCAAAGTCACAGAAGACCTGCTTCCTGCCCTCACCCAGCCAATCAATCTCTTATCGAGCGTAGAGAGCAGAGGCCACTCTGTCTCCTGTTCCTAAGAAAACACCAGCAACACCTCTGCCTCACGGACCTCCTCCGCTTTACACAACATCAGCTTCGCGCCGAGACGTCCCCGTTGCCACGTGAGCTGAGTCGACCCCGGTCGCACCTTGGGCCACTCTCACTCTCTCACCGGGACCCACGCCGTCGGTGATCCTTCACAGCACGGTTTGTCATGGCACCGGCTACCCCGTTCCTGAAAACCACAGGCTGGCGGGAAACTCGTGCTTGGGGTGCCACCACGGGCCCAGGGAGCCAGCCGGCGAGCCACCAACAAGCGAGTCATGCTCCAGGTGCCTCTAGCAGACCAAGGACATTGGAACCAGCGTGCGTTTGAATTCGCTCAGTGGACAGCCGACCCGACTGCAGAGGCCACCCGTCACGGCGATGAGGCCTCACGGCCTGGAGCGTGGCGCACAGCTGGCCCAACCTCTCCTCTTCCGTGTCCCTTTCCACGCCGGTCGTTCTGGCCTGCCCCGCGTCCAGCCAACTTCCAGACGCAGACATTCGCCTCTGGTTGCACTTGGGAAATGTGTCTTTAAAAACCAACAAATTATAATCTCTGCTTTTTAGAAGATTTAAACACAAGCAGTCACTTCTCAGCTGAGTGAGAAGTCAAGGCCAAAGTTCTCATTAAATCCACTACCCCCAGCTTTGTCGTAACTAAAGCCGAGCACACATAGTCGAGGTTAAAATTTTATTTATGACCAGAGTAACATAAAAGATTTTTCATGCTTCAAAAAGAGAAAAAAAAGTGTCTCAAGCAGGTCTCTGGCTTATCTCTCACTCGCAACATGTTCCAAACTTATGTTTCTTGTTCTTAACTTTCTCTGTACCGGGGGGAGGGAGGGGGGCCAGCGCCATCAATGGGGAGCGTCATGGAATTTGGCAAGGACAGCACATCCAAAATAGGCAGCCTCTGGGAGGAAACCAAGCAGGGTCCCAGGGTCACCGCCATGGCCACCATCGGGCGTGAGCCCTGCCCCCAGCGTGGTGCTCTCCTGCCTGCGTGAACCCCAACGCCCCTGACAAGGTCTGCCCACCTCATTCCAGGCAAACCCCAAACGGGCCCTGGGGAGACACTTCTAAGAGATAAGAACAGAAAGGCTGGACCTTCCCCCATAGAATAAAGACTCTGAAAACGTGGGATTTCTATTCTAACTAAAAGCTGCAAACTTGGTCTCGCGCTCCACTGGTCATTTCTCAGGCGCCCGTCGCAACACCGACTTGTGCAGCGCCGAGCTGCGCTCGTGCAAAGGCCCTGGGGCCCCGCGGCCAGTTGGGCCCTGCCGCTCCTTGGAGCCGAAGTCACCAAAATTAGGGAATTCCAAAGCGACCCCACTCAGCTGGCCTTTCCTCTTCAACACCGACCACTCTCACAGCAGCAGGCTCGGTGCCTCAAACAAGCACCCGCTCGTTCTTTCCTAGTGAACAACGCAACCACCGTACTTTGAATTTTTTTCTACAGTAACACGTTTCCACGTAAAAATCGTAAGTTTAAGTGTCTTTTTTTTTTTTTTTTTTCCTCTTTGGCAACTACTGTTGCTTGGACAGTCCTCACCCTCCCCTTTTTACTAGAAAAACCACCTTGACGAAGGGGGCCCGTCGGGCAGAAGCCAGGAGTCCGGTCTCCCTCCCACCACGCCGGTCCCTGAGGTAGCCGTCCGTCGGGGCCCGTGTGAGGCTCTACCTCCCGAACGCGCGAACCACACGGTGGAACTTGCAGCCGGCCTCCGAGGCGCCCGCGCGGCTCTCCCGGGGTGTAGGATGGTTTTGGAGCGAGAGATGCCACGCGGAGTTCTCTGAACATTCCTCGTTGCTTGGGTTACGGCACTGCGGTTACACAAGGCTGGTCTTCAAGTGGCAGGTTTTGGCGGTTTTAAAGATTTCAAGACCCTCCGGCATCGTCTGTTGCGACAAAACAAAGAAAGACCCAGATGTTAAGATTCAGCTCGGAGGAGCTTCCACGACGGGACGTCGGCGTCCCACACCGTTCGGTTTTCTGCACACGCTGAAGACTTTGACACAGTGGCCACTGTCTAGAAACGGCATTGTGACCCGTACGCGCCATCGGGAACAAAGTAAATCACCGTGCTAGGTTTGCAAAGACCGACGGGAATCGCCACCCGTGGAAACGGGCGCCTTTCCCTTCTCGGAGGAACAGCGGGTCCGCGCCGCCTGCCTACGGGAAGGGCCACCGCACTAAGCGCGGACCCGGAGGGCTTCCTCTGAGCATCACTCACGGCCGCCTGGGGAGCAGCGGGTGCCGGCACGCGGGGCCCGTCCGCTGATCCCGTGAAGTCTGCCAGGCGGTGAGCCCGGCCACCGGGCACACGGCCGGCTACCCAGGGGAGGCCCTGGACGGGAGAAGCGCACGCGCGCGGCAGTGGCAGCAGAAACACTACCGGCAGAGAATGACCAGAAGATCTGCCTTCTTAAGTATCACAGGCGACGGAGGAGCCCCAGACAGACAGGAGGAAAACGGAGGAGACAGACCAGCAGAAACCACCACCTGTCCTGGAGGAAACAGGTCAACGCTAATTTCATCGTTTCCCTCGCTGTCTGGTTATAAATGTCCCCACTAGCGAAATTCACAACCCAAATATTTGCCAAAAGACTTCAGAGGAACTGCTCCTGGAATGGCATCCTCTCTCTACAGGGAAGTGTGTTGAAGCTATAGAAAATCGGCCGAAGGACCCGGACGCCTGCCCCTTCGGTGTCCATCCAACCGGTATGAACGAGGACACAGCCTCCCGTCTCCCCTTGTCACCAGCCCTACTCCGGTGATGACACTCTGCACGGAGCCCCACTTTTAAAACTACTTCATTTTGGGGCGCCTGGGTGGCTCAGTCGGTTAAGCATCCAACTTCAGCTCAGGTCATGATCTCACAGCTTGTGAGTTCCAGCCCCGCGTCGGGCTCTGTGCTGACAGCTCAGAGCCTGGAGCCTGCTTGGGATTCTGTGTCCCTCTTTCTTTCCACCCCACCCCTGCTCATGCTCTGTCTCTGTCTCCAAAACAAATAAAAACATTAAATAAATAAATCAAATAAAACTGCTTCCTTTCACTAAGCGTTCTCCGCATTCACCGTGAATCTTTGCACCTGTGCCAGGCCGCTTCGACAGCACAAGCTCCCCACGATGTAGAAGGGGAAGATACTCTAACGGCAGCCCCACCGAGGGGTAACTTCTAGGTGCCGAATAAATAGGTAAACTGATGAGTTACTTGCTTCATAGGCCTAGAAATTCTTAGAGGATTATTACGTTTAGGAGCACTTTGCTTCGGTTTTCTTATGTAAAGCAAAAAAAATAAACTGTTATTTGAAAATCTTCAATCCCAATGTTGTCAGGAATGGAGTCAGACAACCAGGGAAGCCTCTGGTATCCCTCAAGATTTGAAAAGATCACGGTCTTGGGGGGAGGGGAGGAAAGATGCCACGAAAGAGAGTAAATCAGAACACAGAAGAGCTCCCAGAAATCAACAGTAATACTCTCAAAATAAAAACGGAACCCAGAGACTAGGACACGATTTTGAGAATCTCCCAGAAAGTTTCTGAAGAGCTGAACACAAAATGAACAGGAAGACATCGGAGAAAATGCAGGACCTCGGAACGCAATCCAGGAGGCCCGGCCAGCATGAATTTGAGGACAAGGGGACACAGCAGAAAGACATAATCAGGGAAACCAGAGATTATCCCTGGGGCTGGAGACACAGGAAAAAAAATTGAGCAACGTATATAAAAAAGAGCTCCACCTAAATTCGTGAAATTTCTGAACAGGAGGAAAAAGAAGATCCTGAAAGCTTCCAGAAAGGCAGGCAACAGATCACCTACAAACCACTGAGAACTGGGTTGGCAACAGACCATCTCCAACAGGAAACACGGACCCTTGAGACGGTGGGTTTCCCAGCAGAATCCCACACCCAGGCCGTGAGTGGAGTATGAGGACACCCGAGGGCCGGGGTGTCCC